TATATATATATATATATATGTATGTACATATACACTACTCAACAAAAAATAGGGAACACTTTACAACACGCTCAAAATTGAACACCGTAACTCAGTGAAAAATTATTGCAGACAAAAAAATCAAAAAAAGACTTGAAAGCTTGAAATCTCTACTTTCGAAATAGATTAATATTTCAATCTGACTGATTCTTTACGGAGATATACAGACATAAATGAATCTCCGTCAAATCTGAAAATTTTTTACAAACTTTACGAAGATCTATGACATGAAGTAAAATTTACACAATGATTATTTTTGCTTCAACTTTCAATAACTCGGCGAAAAAAATCGTTCAGCACTCAATAAAAAAACAAATTGAAGGTAAAGATTCACTCTTTTGATGCCGTAAACCACATTTTTGTGTGAATTTTACTTCACGTCATAGATCTTCCTAAAGTTTGTAAAAAATTTTCAGATTTGATCGGGGATTCATTTATGTCTGTATATCTCCGTAAAGAATCAGTCATTGAAATATCAGTTACCGATTTCGAAAATAGAGATTTCACGTTTTCAAATGCTTTTTGATTTTTTGTCTGCGATAATTTTTCACAGAGTTACGGTGTTCTGAATATTGTGCAATTTTAAGCGTGTTCTAAAGCGTTCCCTATTTTTTGTTGAGTAGTATATTTTAAATAGTATCAATCTAAATAGTATCTTTTTAAGATTAATTTTTTAAATCGACTTTTAATTTCTATGAAGTAAAATTAATATAATATATTTAGTAGATATAAATATAGATAGTAGGACTCAATACAATTTATTATGAAATGATATAAATAATACTATCACGTTAAATAGCTAAATCGTTAAATTGCAGTATCAAACGATCGATGTATCGTAATTCGTTTAATACCCGAAGAAATGGTTTCTCTCGAAGTAAAATTTATTCCGCGAGAGATCGGCAAATACAAAAGTCAAGTGCGGCTATTTATTACCGATAATCCGTATGAAAATCTAATAATTGATTTGAAGAGCGAAACGTATGCAGAATTAATTGTATTAGATGGATTAGAGCTCATGAATACAAAACTTAAGTCTATCAATGAAAGAAAGGAATCTAATGCAAAATCGCGAAGATCGTTAAAATCAAATAGTACAACAAGAGGTAATCAAAATTGAAAAAGAATATAAGAATAAATTATAAAGAAATGTAATTGTAAAAAATATAATTATAAAGAATTATAATTTCATTACAATTTTTTTTATTTTTGTTTATTACTTAATCTTTTTAATAAATTTGTCAAAAGTATTTATTTATTATCTATTGTAATTACTTTCAATATGAGTATTAATGAATTAATTATTTTATAACAAGCAACAATATAATTTATGATATCTTTTATCGATCTCCTATAAATTCTCTTTCAAGTATAATTTATACATTTTTCATTGCTCTGTGATTTATGTCTCGCAGTTTCAACACCGACAACGCTCCCAGTTTCATTGATCTATATGCTGGATTATGGATACTGCTTTGTTAATAAAATATACAGGAAGAGCTTCAAAGTCGTTAATAAATCAATAAACCAGTATTTACGTTTTCAATGGAGTGCACATCCCAACGTTGTATTTACTCCGTCAATCGGTCATCTGAAATCTTTAACTTGTAAAGAAATCGTTGCGACATTTCTTTCTTCGGAACCAACAATTTACATTGACGTAATATAAAATTATCAAGTTTACATTTGTAAACTATGGTTAATTAATATTTGCAATTTGCATAAATTAAAAAAATTTTTTCGTTTAATATTATAGCATATCGATAACAATTAATTAAAATTACATTATCGAAACTAGTATTCCAAAACGTACATACATTTAATTAAAGTAATAAAAATATTTCTATATAAAAAAATAAGTAAATTTTAACAAAAAAATATCAAAATAAAAGATCAAATTTCATAAATTTTCAAGTAAGATCAGTTGCATTTCTTTGTTTGGTATTGCTGCATATTAAACTCATATAAAAATATTGTTTTCTTATTAACAGACGTGTCTCGAATGTACAGTCTGTGCAATTGAGCTCGCCAATTCCGTGAAAGAATCATCATGGGACGATCGAGAGACACAGGTGCGATGGGTAACAATAAATTCGGATGCCAAGGAGCCAAATGCAGAAATAGCTAAAAAAACAATTGAGCCTGTTAACGAGCCGAAACATGAAATCATTCCTGGTACGATGAAGTGCATCCAAGTGTTACTTAACGCCATCGTAGCATTTTCCCAATATTCTTGCTCCGTTAAAGAAATCAATTTCAAGAACACGCTAATGTTTCAGGTTGTATACTATAATTACGAATTTTATATCTTACATTCAAATATTAAATTAGACCATGATTACTATTACTATGGTGTAAGATTTTGCTATAACTATATCGATAATAATTTATATTTAAAAGGATTTCGAAATATGGCACAAAAATTTTTTTATTTAACATACAAATGTAAAATATTTCTTCAAAGTTTGCAGAAATTTGTAAAAATTATTTATAGATATTTGTAATGTTTTTAAATTAGAGTAAAGCGAGGCTATTTTGTCCATTTCTCACAATATTGTTTATGTTTCTAAACAGCGTATACTGAATATTTAAAGGTCATGCTTGTGCTTTCAAGAAGCAATCATTATATATAAGATAATTATTAGGTATGGGAAAAAGTTCGTGGCGTTTTTTTAATGCCATCTAACGGGAAAAACGCCACGAACTTTTTCCCACACTTAATATAAGCATGTTTCTGCAAAAAGATATTGTTTGTTACTATAAATTTTATATTATTTTAAGCTTGTAAATGACAGAATAGTCCTGCTCTACTCTTTCAATTTTCTCGATCTGCGATAGTTTCTTGTATTCCGTATGTAGCATAATATAATTATCAATTTTTTTTTACAACTGAAACACTCAGCTGATTATTTGATTTAATCGGAGCGAAAAATACAGATTATAAATAATTTCGCAATCGTTCGTTCGGATTTAAATATTTGTTTGTAATAACGCGAATATATTTTCTAAATTGACGCATTTGCAACAAATCACACGAACGTCATGAAATTTGATAAAATGCAAACCGTCGCTGTTACTTTCATATCTGATCCAATTCCGACTTGTTTGCACGAAAAATAAAGAAAAAAATCAAAATCAAAAATCACTTCCACAAGCAGTGGATTATTTTAACTTTTGTGTACTATTCGATTAAAATCGATAATATATTAATCCTTTTGGATAATAAAAATTGATTCTCTCGGCTTTCAATATTTTTTCTCTGCATTATGTATTAGTTGTAGCATGCATCAATCTTGACATATTTTTTTAAAATGTTTAAATATCTGTAGTTAAAGATGTTAACATATTATTTGCATAATACTGCCCATTAAATTTAAAAAAACGCAAAATAAAAATAACATCCAATAAAATGCAGTCAAAATGTAACAATACCAATTTATTATAAATATATCAGAAATCTCTCTCTCTTTTTCTCTCTTTTTATGTGGAAATGCGAAAATAATATAAGCTATAATAAATAAGCTTTTATTTTTTCTTTCTTTTATTTAGCTTTAAATAATTTAT